GGCCCTTCAAACGTGCCCTTGACGCAGCAAATTACTTACGACCAAACTGGAGACACTTTTGCTGCTTCTGCTGCAGCACGAGCAGCAGCAGCAAAACAAATTGCGCGGCTTGCTGCTGCACTCGAGGGCCCCCAGGTAGTTCTTTATTGTTTATTTATTTATTTGTTTATTCATTATTTATTATTTGTTTTTTATTTATATTTATTTATTTATTTATTTGTTGCAGGATGTGGAGGGCGTCTTTACAAAGAACGGGCTTTACGTCGTGCAGGCCAGGCCCCAGCCATGAAGCAAATAAATGAATAAATAAATAAATATATAAATAAATAAATTAATAAATAAAAATAAATAAAGATAATTAAAATGTTAAAAGCAAAATTAGTTATTTATTATAATGGCGGCGAGCAGCAGCGGCGCAGTTGGAGCTGCCGCTTCGCCCCTTAGTTGCTGCTTAGAACAGCAGCAGCAGCAGAGCAGCAGCAGCGGCAGCACTGTTGCCAGCTGCTGCTGCGGCTGGCAAGGCATGTGCAAAGACAGGCCGCAGCAGCAGTACACTGCGACACAGCCAGCAGCAGCAGCAACAGCAGCAGCAGCAGCAGCGGCAGCAGCGGCAGCAGCAAGCCTGCGAATCCGTCTTCAGGCCTTAGCTATCAGCTAGCTAGCTAGCTAGCTAGCTAGCTAGCTACCTGGCTAGCTAGTGAATTGTGTGACTACCTGCTATCTACGGAAGTGTCGAGCCAGCTGGCCAGCTAGCTCGCTCGCTAGCTACGTAGCTAGCTATCTGGCTAGCTAGCTAGCTAGCTAGCTAGAGACCTAGCCAACTGCCCAGCTAGCTGGCCAGCTAGCTAGCTACCCAGCTAGCCACATGGCTAGCCATATAGCTAGCTAGAGAGCTGGCTGCTGCCCAGTTAATTACGTGACTAGCCAGCTAGCTAGATAGCTGGCTAGCTGCGCAACAAGCTAGCCTAGGCAGCTGGCCAGGGCAGCTAGCTAGACTGCTGGCTAGCTGCCTAGCTGGCTAGCCAGCTAGCTATCGAGCTAGCCAGCTAGGCAGCTCGCTAGCCGAGCTCCCAGCTAACTAGCTTTATAGACAGTCGCTAAGGAACTAGCTAGCTCGCTAGCTAGCCAGCTAGCTAGCTAGCTGGCCGGCAAACTAGGTAGCTAGCTAGCTAGCTAGCTAGTTGGCTAGCTAGGCCCGGAACTAGCTAGCTGGCTAGTTAGGCGCCCAACTGTCCTTCTTTCCACTTACCTAGCTAGCTAGCTAGCTAGCTGACTAGCTAGCTAGTTAGCTAGCTAGCTAGCCACAGGACTGGCTAGCTAGCTACCCGCATAGCTAGCTGGCTGGCTAGATAGCTAGTTAGCTGGCTAGGTAACTAGCTAGCTAGCTAGCTAGCCATTTGCAGCGAGAGTTGAGAAATGAAATGGGGCCTTCTGGGGCACCCTCCTTTGTTTTATTTGCTGCTGCTGTTTTATATTTATTTCCTTTCTCTTCTTTTGCTGCTTCGAATTTTAAACTCTCCTTTTTATTTGCTGCTTCCACTCAACTCCGACACAAAGGGCAGCAGCAGCAGCAGCAGCAATAGAAGCAGCAGCAGCAGCAGCTGCGAAGGTAGCAGCTGCAGCAGAGTAACAGCTGCAGCAGTGGCAAAAGCAGCACCAGCAGCAGCAGCGTTCCAGCAGCAGCAGAATTAGCAGCAGGGGCTGCAGCAGAGTAGCAGCAGCAGCAAGAGCTGCAGCAAGGCAACAGCAGCAGCAGCAAAAGTTTCTGCAGATTCTTCGACAGGGGTTTATGAGGGTTTAGGGTTTACAAGTGAAGCTTTAGGGTTTACAAATTAGGGTTTAGGGTCCACATATTAGGGTTTAGGGTTTATAAATGAAAGTTTAGGGTTTAGAGGTGACGGTGTAGGGTCTAGGGTTTGGGTCGCAGCCTAGCCCTGAACCCTAGAACCCTAAACCCTAATAAACCCCTAACCCTCTTAGCAAACCACAATAAACCTAAACCCTAAACCCTAATAAACCCTAGGAAACCCCCGAACCCTAAACCCTAGTCCATAAACCCAAATAAACCCTAATAAATCCTGAGGAGCCCTACAAACAAAACCCTAGTAAACCCTTATAAATCCTAGTAAACCCTAGCAAACCCTAGTAGGGCCTAACACAATCCACAAAACCCTAGTAAACCCAAACACACTAAACCCTAAACCCTAAACCCCCTAAACCCTAAAACCTAAACCCTAGAAACCCTTAACGCTAAACCCTTACAATCCCTACTAAACCCTTGTAGACCCTTATAAACCCTCACAAACCCTCATAAACCCCAGTAAACCCTAATAAACCCTAATAAGCCCCACTAAACCCCAATAAGCCCCACTAAACCCCAGCAAAACCTTATACACTCCAGTAAACCTTAATAAACCCTTATAAACCATTATAAACCCTTATAAACCCTAATAAACCCCTATAAACCCTTATAAACCCTTATAAACCCTAATAAACCCCAACAAACCCTTAAACCCTAATAAGCCCTCTTTGAGGGCCGCCCAGTGCGAAGACAGGAGTTGAAGAAAGAAGAGAAATGAAATAAATTAGAAAAATGAAAATAATTAAATTAGAAATATAAAAATAATATATTGGAACTATAAAAATAATAAATTAAAATTAGAAAAGTGGAAATGAATTAAATTATAAAAGTTTGAAAAGAATAAAAAGCGTCTAAGGAAAAGACAAAACAAATAAAGGTGAAATATGCAAATGGGAAAAGGCCGGGTGCCCCAAACCCTAAATTAGGGTTTAGGGTTTACGGTTTAGAAGAGGGAAAGGGGCCTGTTGAATCGGCTTGTTGAATCTCCCTTTCTGTAAGAGAAGACAAAGCAACTAAAGAGGGAAGATGGAGACGAGAAAAGCCCGGGTGCCCCAAACCCTAAATTAGGGTTTAGGGTTTAGGGTTTAGAAGACGGGGGAAAGGGGCCTGTTGAAACCGCCTTTTCTGTTCATGTATTGTCTGTACTTTCTTTTGGACCTTTTGCTAACTCCAGAAAGGTCTGAAGAAAGATGAATTTTATTTTTTGAAGTTGAGAAGTTGCTGAATCCCATTAGCTGCTGCAGCACCTGCTCCTCGTCGCCCTCTGCTGCTGCTGCTGCTGCTGCTGCTGCTGCTGCGTCCGCCTCCTCGCTGCTGCTGCTGCTGCTGCTCCGCCGCCGCCGCTGCTGCTGCTCCCCGCGCTCCCAGCTCCGCGAACGACGACGAGCAGCAAACCTGCTGCTGCTGCTGCTGCTGCTGCTGCTCGCGTATTTCCCGTTGCTCCCGTACTTGCTGCTGCTGCTGCTGCTGCTGTACTTTGCTGCTGCTGCTCCTTCGTACCGCCGCGAGCTGCGGCTCGACTCTTCCCGCGGGTCCCTGAGAAGCAAAAAATAAAATTTATTTTTTAAATTTATCTACTTATTTATTGTCATTTATTTTATATATTTATTTATTCATTTACTTATTATTTGAAGGAGCTGCAACTGAGGAGCTTCAGCAAAGCGGCAGCACTTTTGCTTCTGCATTCGTGAGTTCCTTTAGGCTGCTGCTGCTGCTGCTGCTGCTGCTGCATTTTGCTGCTGCTGCTGCTGCTGCTGCATTTTGCTGCTGCTGCTGCTGCTGCAGTGTGTTGCTGCTGCCGCACCTGCGTCTTTCCCAGCGGCTGTCTCTGTCTCTGTCTCTGTACGGGTCTCCGCCCCAGCGGCTTCTCTCTCTGTCTCTGTCCCTTTCTCTTTCTTTTTCTCTTTCTCTGTCTCTTTCTCTGTCTCTTTCTCTGTCTCTGTCTCTTTCTCTTTCTCTGTCTCTTTCTCTGTCTCTTTCTCTGTCCCTGTCTCTATTTGTATCTCTGTTTGCTTCTCGGTCTCTGCGGTAGAAGTGCTCGGGGGCTTTGTAGCTCATTTTGGGCTGCGGCGTACGTACACCTGCTGCGGTGTACCTGCGGCGGGCCCGCCGCGCAAGTCCGCGACAATTAAACGCAAATGGCAACTGATAAAGCAAATTAAATCAATTATTTTAAATTTGAGCGAAGAATGGGGGGAAACGCCGCCAAATGGCCGGAGAATCGCCAAAATGCCAGGTTCTTCAGCTGCCAGAACCGCCGACACCAGGGCAGCAGCTCTTCGCCGGAATCTCGCCTTCCCGAGACCCCCAGAAAACCCCAAACTCCAAAAACTAAATAAATATATAAAATAAAACAATAGTTCGAGAAAAGGGCGAAAAAACGGCGAAAAATGCTGTACATACACCCCAGGCTGCATGCGCCGGCAGCTGCATGCCGAAAAGCCCCGAACTTCCCCCCGCGCCTTTTTCGCCTCCCTTTCGAATTTTAAAACGCTTTCGTGAAAACTAAAACTGTTTGTAATATTCATTTTGTTTTTACTTTTTTAAATTCTGAAATTTACTCCCCAGACGAGACTGCTGTATGGGGCCCCCTCGCTCGCCATGGGGTGTACGTACCCCCCTGGAATTGAAGTCCACCGCAACTTGACACTCCGTTTGTATCAATTCAATAGTTCTAATTCGATTCCTCATAACTTATTTATTATATATCCGTCATTTCAGAAGCAAATGAATAACTCCAGCTAGCTAGCTAAGCGGCCAGCGAACACATGCCATCGAAATAGGCAGCAAGCTAGCCAGTCACCTGACAAGCCAGCTACCCAGCCAGCTAGCCAGCTAGCTAGCTGGCTAGCTAGCTAGCTGGCTAGCTGGCTGGGTAGCTGGCTAGCCAGGTGACTGGCTAGCTTGCTGCCTATCTCGATGGCATGTGTTCGCTGGCCGCTGAGCTAGCTAGCTGGAGTTATTCATTTGCGTCTGAAATGACGGATATATAATAAATAAGTTGTGAGGAATCGAATTAGAACTATTGGATTGATAGCAACGGAGTGTCAAGTTGCGGTGGACTTCAATTCCAGGGGGGGACGTACACCCCATGGCGAGCGAGGGGGCCCCATACAGCAGGCTCGTCTGGGGAGTAAAT